AAGCAGACTACTTGCTGTACAATCACACTTATACACACTGTATATAGCTCGTTGCTGCCACCTGCTGTCGAAAGCATGTCCCAATCACATGAACAATTATTAACTGCTCTGGATGATCTCACCTCTTGTTGTTTGTTCAGGACTGTTGTGCAACCCTGTTCCTCTGCCAGCTGATCGGACACACAGCGCAGGCCGGTCAGCTGCTGCTATTATTAGCGTTACGTAATAATTGTCTGTTCACCCTTCAAAGACGTCAATGACAAGCAGGTTAATCATGAAAAAGGGGCAACTAACGTTAAATCACACAACGCTATATATCCACATTTATTTTGCAGGAAAGAAAAACCTAAAAAAGATAAAATACCACAGAATTGTAATTTATATTTGAACTGTTTCTATGGGCAACGGCTGCACATAACAGAGGCGGTACTTTCAAAATAAAGTAATAATAGTTAACATTAGGATGTCCATTTCATATCTCCGTTGCTTCGAAGAAACAATCTTGAAAGCTCTTGTAGATTTATGTTAGGGGTTTCTTTTTTGGAACAAACTCTGTTATTCTCGCACTACATTTCCCAGAAGGCCACTGGAAGGCGTGGCCATCAAACTTCAAATCGCTCTGCAGCTGCGCAGTGAGCTACTGCGCTCACAGCTGCACACAATGCAGAGGTAAGGTCTCTCTCTCTCTCTCTCTTTTTAACACCACAACGCCATAAATGACACTTTGAATGTATTTTCTGAAACTTATTCGTGTGCTGTTGACATAGCCGACAAAGCCCGTGTGAACCGTGAACAGGACCGGTTTGAAACCCGGTTCGTGACAACTGGTACAGCCGGTTCCAGTGTCGCTGTAATGACCCCATACAGCCGCAACAGTCGTGTCGACGAGTGCCTCTGGGTTATCGATCAGTCACTGGCACATCGGAATTGTTTGTTCGGTTAGTTAACCGTATGTGTCACCTTGGCACTCTTGTTAGAAAATGACAAACATAATGTTGAGGCGCTGTTCGTGTTCACTGTGGTCCTTTCAGTGTTTGGTCTGAGGTTTTGTGACAACCACTAATGTGAACACCAAACAATTCACTATCACTCTGGAGGAAACGTGTTCCTGTTTGTATGTGCTCACTCCACTGCACTGTACTGCCAACTGGGGTTAGTGGCTCCTGCACGACAGAAACAGTAAGTAGCCTACTTTGCATTGCATACATTTGATCAACAAAACCAGCAAAATTACACTTCTGGTCTAAGTTTGGAGGCTAATTTACATGGAGTTTAAATGATCTGAAGAATGCCACATTAGCTCCCATTTTGAGCCATGAATTCAGTTTGTTTCCTTATCTACCCCTAGGATCTTCATAAAATCATAGTTTATAGTTTATGCATGATTTTAAAAAAAGAGTTCCCTTTAAAAGCAGGTGCTAATAACAGAGACTCTAACAACACAATATGGCATTGAAATGCGTGTGCTACAAACCCAATTGATTTATTAACACAATAAACCAAGTTAGAATTGATCCAATCATGCCAAGGCAGGGTGGGAACTCTGAAGCTAGCAGAGGTAAAGCAGAGTTAAGTTATAGCATTTGGTATGAAGTACGTAAATAATCAAAATTCTGATTGATCCTGTTAAAAAATGGCGCAGGTTTGTCTGTAACTGTACATACAGACTTGCTTGGCTTGTGTAAACTGGCTAAATAGAGGAAGACATGTCACACATTAGTCTGTCTCTGAAGTTTTTGCAGAGTATGTATTTGGAGGTTTACTTCCCTCCCTGCTGCACTGCCACTAACCTTCACCAGAATAAAATAACTGTGTTGAGCTGGAACATAATGATACCTATTGGGAGGTTAAATATGGTTCTAGGCTTCATCTGAAAACTGTAGGTGTGCTGCAGCACAGTTATTTGAGGGCTGCTACTCTTAAATATTATTTACTCATGTCCAAGGTGCTCTTACTGAGAGATAAATGTAATTCAACCGTGCTGACAAGGTGTCTGTACTTTCTCTGATCACAGCCTGTTTTTATGGTGTCATTGGTTCTGTTGCCACCAGTGTCTACGTGGCTACGGAGCCTGGCTTCCTGCCATTTACCGGAGTACTGCTTCTGTGCACTCTCTCTTTCTCTCTGCTGGAAACTGCTGCTGCTGCTGCTGCTGCTGCTGCTGAACTATGCTGCACATGACCACAAGTGCAAGCAGTACAGTAACATGTAGCTTGACTGGAGAGACTAACACAGAGGGTGCACTAGTAGTGGTGTAGTGCTGGTACACACATAGCATTCCTATAGACCCATTTGGTCACAGTCATTGTGCAAAACATGTTCTTATGAGAATAGTAGGACACAGAGGGAGAGTGATATATGTCTTTAATCACATGCAGTGTGAATAGCTCCAAAGCTATTTATAACTATAGTTCCTGGAGACCGTCAGTCTTGATAATTGGTTCCAAAATAAACTGGATTGTCAAGCAAATGCCCTGTGTGATGGTGCTTACAATAGACACTGGATTTGTATGCCCCACTCTGATCATTTGGAATTTAACTAGAACATATCTCAATATATCACTTTGTTGCTTGGATATACACAGTTTGTGTTCTCCCTTTTAGGGAATTTAAGTTGATTAGTGTGTGACATGATATCTGTGTGGGCTCTGTATTTATTTTGGTTTTACAAGCTGTGCCATACTTCACCTGACTGTGGATCTGTGTCTGTCTGCAGGTTTGGACAAATCAGCCCTCATTCAGAAATGAAGACTTCACTGAAGATCAGCAGGTAGACATCGAGATACATTCCAGACATTTTCATCAACACTGGACAGCAAGTTAACTACAGCTGTCTACTCCTGCCACTCCTCCAAACCTGCTTCCCTACACACCTCACTGCCAAAGTCTTCAGCATGTATCAGATTGTCCCGGTGGCTCCTGGGGAGCAGCAGACGGCTGGGGGAGCTGGTGGTTCTCCACTGAAGAAGAAACTGGCTCATGAAGGCCGGCCTCTGGTGATGGCAGCCATGTTGGGCTGTGTGTTGGTGCTGGCTTCTGTGGTTGCCTGGTGCTACTACTCTGCGTCCCTCCGTAAAGCCCAGCTGCTGAAGGCTGAGCTGTTAGACCTCAACAAGGATGGTTTTATCATTCATAACCAGGCAGGAGCTGTCATCTTCAGTATGACCTTCAGGTGGGTGTAGTGTAGACAGAGATAATTTAGATTATTGATTAAGCTGCTTATTATAGTCTTGGTGGATCCTTTTTAGGGATGCACGATATATTGGCATTCATATCGGTATCGGCCGATGTTCGTC